CCCCGCCTCTGCCGTAGCCCTCCCCCGCGCCCATCGACGTGGCGGCCATGGCGGTCTCGACAGAGGCGCTCGCCGTGATTGTGCCCGACCCGCCGCGGCCACGGGAAACACTCTCGGCCATCTGACATCAGCAGGAGTCGGGGCGTGGTGCAGCAGCCGGAACTAGCCACCTGCCACCAGTGGCACCGCCGACTTACCTTCCTATCGGGATTCGATCGCTGTCGGTATGAGTGGACAGCTCCTCTGCCGTGGGATGCCTCCTCCCACCCCTCCGTCTGATATATACCCTCCAAGATGCTGCGCAGCTTGCCCGCCCACGGCCGATGCTGCGAATCAGGACGGGTGTGGACGTCAATCGTTGTTCTGCTTCTGCCATCTGCCCGCCTCATCCAAAATGGCGCTCTCGTCTTTGTATAGTGTCGTTCACGTGCGTCTATTTTCGGCGCGTGCGGTCGCCTAGTGGCCCGAAACAGGGCGATCTCGCGATGGAAGCTTCGGCCGTTATCTGATATCAGCGATCAAATAGGCACGGGCGTCGGGTCCGCCGGCCGACGTCGGAGGCGTGCAGGCCAGGCGGAATGCAGAGGCCAAGACTTGGCTCGATCGCCGAACATTCCATGATTGAGAATAGATCAGAAGAGTTGATCGCGCTTGATGCTCGCTGTCCGTCATACTGGCATGCGCACCGCTTGCACAAGTTCGACTTCAGCAACGACAATGTCATCCCGCCAGTATGCGTCAGCAGCATCAGTATGCATGTCAGCGCGGAGAGGAATGGACGCAACCCCCCCCCAGCCATGCCCCGGCCGATCACACTCCAGCACGCCCCTGGAATATTCACTTTCCCTGGCACGAGAGCCACTGAAATACATTCGCGCAGGCCAAGCCGCCCAAATTGGAACTGCCTGCGAGAACATCGGCCTCGCTCCGAGGTTCTACCGTCTGCGGTGCGTCGATATGCTCAGCACCAACGGTAGGCGTGTGGGCGGTGGGCCTTGCTCGAGCTCTGCTCGCCAAAAGTCACCGCGAGAGATGTGGCGGCGACCTTGGCTCTTGCCTTCGCTGTCTGCATGCGGCCGAGACTTGTGAACAGCCATACACATCCACGCGGATGGTGGTACGCTCAGAGAGCTGCGCCTGAGCTGTGGCCTGACGGCGCGCCGCCGTAGCCCATGCCGTACGACCCCAGCCCGCGCTTCGTGTTCTTGACAACGGCTACGATGCTGCCGTCAATACTCCGCTCGTGGGGCAAAGACTCACGGAACCTCCAATCCACGCTCGCCTCCCAAGCCGATCGTGATCCCCTCACTCCATCTGATGTTAGCGGCCGCAGGGTGTGCGGGGCATGCAGCCGATGCAACAAATCACTCACCCCATCTTGCTCAGCAGCTTGTGGCCGACGTTGTCCTGGCCGATCTTCTCTGCGCCCTCGCCAACAAGATCGCCCTCACGCGCACGCACGCTGGCGCCTGTGCCGCGCGCAGAGTTGTTCTTGCCATCGCCCTTGCTCTTGCGCGCATACAGCGCTTTGAAGAAGCTACCGCCATTGAACTGGCCCGCCGCGACAAGGCGGTCCCGCTTCGCCGTGTCCACCTGCAGGCCCGAGCGCGCGAGCTTGATCAGAATCCTGAGATTAGCTGGATGCAGGTTGGACAGCTCACGGGAACCGGGCGGCGCCCTTGCCTTTCGACTTGGACTTGAGGTCGTAGCACTCGGCGAGCATGTGCACCTTCTTGCGCGTCTCCTTCTCCATCGGAGGGAGCTGGAGCGTCGTGCGCCCCGAGTCGCGCATAAAGTCCTGGATCATCATGTCGATGTCACCGAGTGTGGGCGGGAGCAGCGGGTTGCTGCGGCGGTACTTGACTCCCCAGCCTGCACCTTCGCCCCCGCCCTCGTCCGAAGAGATGTCGAACAGCTCGGCCACTTCAGCCGCCGAGCCGGGGATGAGATGGGCCATGCGCGCCGCAGCGGCCTTGCCCTTCTTCCCTTTCTTGTTCGCCTTGCGACCGAACCCGATGTTGGGGTCGAGCAGCGCGATAGCACGCTGGAGCTCGCGCTCTCTCTTCTTGTCTGCCTTCTTGGCACGGTCGCGCGCCCACTGGTCCTGCAGCTCCTGCGGAAGGTGGGCCGGCGCCTGCTTGTTACGCTTCGCTGGGGCTATGATCAGCACACTACCGTTAGCCGTCTCACCTGAAGCGAAGTCGCTGTCAAACGAGCCATTGGCGACTGCACGGAAGACGGCCTTGCGCTCCTTGCGCGACTGGGCCATGGCTCCGTCGAGCGCCGCCTCCATGCTATCGATAAACCATGCGTTGTCGTCCTCGACTTCCTCTGCCTCGCTGTCGGAATCGTTCCACCGGGTGACGCCAGAGAACATCTTGACCTCACCGTCAGACGCATACTCGTCCTCAGAGTAGGCGTCCGCGAGGGCGTTGAAATCATTCTCGCTCGACTCGTCGTCCTCCTCCGAGTCGGTGTCAGAGCGAGCCTCAATCTCGCGGCGTGTCTCCTCCATGTCCTCATCGTCCCACTCATCGCTGTCGCTGTCCATGTACGCCATCGCAGCGTTGTCCTCTCGAATGCGCTCCACACCAGTCACGTATCGTGCGAGCTCCTCATCGTCAAGGTCAGGATCGAGCTCCTCATCACCGACGGGATCGCCCGCGCTGAGGGAGAGCATCTTGGGCGGGCCATCGCTGCCCCAGTCGAGATCGGAGCCCTCCGACGCGATGTGGAGGTCTCCGTTGCCACCGCCGAGCTTGCGGCGCTGACGCTTGTTACGCGCACGCTTTTCCCTCTTGGCCTTCTTGCGCTCTTTGCGGCTCATCACGACGCGTGGGTCCACGCCCACGCGGGTGAGTTCAAAGTCGCTGGCCTGCGGAGGGGCGCGGCTCGAGGACGCGACGGGGTCCTCGATGACGCGGGGTTTGAAGATTATCGTTTCCTCGTCTATCGAGAGTCGTGGTGCGACAGGTGCGGCTGATTGCAGAGGAATGTCGTAAAGAATGGAAGCGCTCGGCTCAACGTCGCCGGTGGTGTCGACGGTGAACAGCGCATCGTCGGCAACTACGTCGAGACCGATTGTGCCGGTCGTGTCGACCTCAAATAGGGCCTCGTCCGCCAGCGCTTGAATGTCGTTATCCTCGCTGCTGTCAACAGCAATATGGAGGGGTGCAAGTTCCAGGGCTGAGACGGGGGCCGACGGAGAGTATGAGGTGATGACCTCCTCCTCCTCGACGAAGATTGCGGTTCTTTCTGTGATGATTGCGTGTGAGTCCTCAACAACGAGCGTGTCAAGGTGCTCAGACAACACGCGCTCTATCTCGTCGTCGTCGACCACGTCGTCGTCGTGCTCATGTGTCTCGTGGCGATGGGCCGAGATGGCGGCGAGAGCTTGGGCGCGATTGGCAGGGTCTTGAATGTCAACCTCAACGTCGTCGTCGAGGTGGTGCATCTGCGGGGCGCTGGGATCTGACAAAGGGTAGTGCTCGACCACAAAGATGTCTGGCGTCAGCGTGCATTCTCTCTCAGTACCGGCTCCTCCAGACGCCATCCCCCAATAAGACGTCCCCTCGACGCTCGCTGGTAAACTCACCCCCATCACACTTGACGACGTCGACCTCGCCATCGCGAAACAGCTCGCCGGCCTTGACGAACAGCGGTGCGCCTCCCCCTCCCCAAGTCACGACGCCGTCAATCTCCCGCGCAGCCGTCCGCGGCCCTCTGCGATGATACCCTATCCCCGAAGTAATCGGTGTCGCGGCTCCCGACGCGCCGCTAGACTGGGCGCCATGCGGAGCGAAGGACTTGAGTCGCCGCGGCGGCCTGTCCTCTTCGTCCGGGGCGAAGGGCTGCACACTCGCTGCCATCAGCGTCAGCGTCAGCGTCAGTAGCCACGCACGTTCGAACTTGTGATAAGTTTTCGTGTTGAGCTTGGAGTAGTCGAGTGCGACGGATGAGTAGTCGGCGCCGAAATGGCCGCCGCGCACCGTCCGCCCGCCGCGGGACGCGTCGAAACCGCCGCGACCGCGACCGGCGCCGCCACCACCTCGCCCACGAGCCCCACCACCACGGCTGCCACGAGAGCTGGAGCCGCCGCGACCGCGTCCGCGGCCACGGCCGCGAGGTGTGTCTTGGTTGAGGAAGTCGCCAAAGGCTAGGCGCGGCATGGTGACGCTGTGATGGAGATGATGGATGATGGATGGTGTGGTGCTCGACGGGCCGGAATCTACAGTAGATGTGGTGGGTGGCCAAATCGACCTTGCTTGGAGTCGGTGGAGTGTGAGTCATGTCCGCTCGGATCCGGGGCACGTGGTGGGGGCACGTGTCAAGTTGGTTCATATTTGGGTACCGTGTAGTTTTGAGATTGTACGACGTGCGACGATTGCTGCGGACTGGGGCTGTTTGGTAATTTGGTGATAGGTTGATGGGAAGACTGCGCAGCTTGTACAGTACAGTAGGTGCAGTGCACGACAGTGCACGACATGAAAGCAGCATGCCGAGGCGCCGAGAGTTGGCTCTAATAATCATGATGGCGATTTGAGGAGATGCATGGGAGGACGGAGGCTGTGCACGCGTCGCGTGGAGTGAGGTTGGTGTTGACCCTGAAGGCCTGAAAATGGGACGCGACCCTTTGTGTCCCCCCTGTTTGTGGGCTCTGAATCTTCACACGCCTCCCTCTTGCCCTGCATTAATCCCAAATCCTATTCCATTTGTTTTTGCCTAATACCATTTTGCACCGCACGCACCGCCGCACTCACGCTCAGACCTCGCTCCTTCCTTTGGAATTGAGGGGCGTTCCAGGCCAGTAGTAGTAGTCTCTCTTCTCTTTTCTCTCTCTTCTCCGTCGCCATCTCTCAGTCCTTGTTCATCATCCATCATCATCATCATCATCATCATCATCCACATCACTCTCTTTACAATCTTCATTCAATACTCGTGTCCAACTTTTGTCTTTGGTCGAAACCCCCTTGCCCCCCTTTCTAAACAAGCGTCGTCGTCCCGGGGTTGACTTGTGACCCTGTTCTAGTCCCGCCTCCCACCCAACACTTGACCACGACTCTTGAGCATCGCTCTCTCACCCACCATGTCGGGCGCTAGATATCATCAAGCCCCCTACAGCGACAACAACAACAACAACTATGGCAACAGCTATTCCCCAAGCCCTCAGCCGTATTCCGACGGCCAAGGCTACAGCGACAGCACCGCCGGGCTTCGGGGTAACGAGTGTGAGTACCATGGTACCTGGGGAGAGGGGAGAGGAGCGAGAAGAGAGGAGAAGAGAAATCAAACATGAATGACGAGCTGACGCGTATGGGAACCTTCCTCCCTCCCCTCCCGCCCCCCCCCCCCCCCCTTGGCACCGCCCCTTTGCTCCCTCATCCACACCACTCTTCACTCTCATCTCTTCATCATCATCCTCCTCCTCATCACCACCACTCTCTCCTCCCTCCTCCCCTCTCTCCCCTTTCCATCCTCGTCCCCATCTTCTGGCCACCTCATCGCCCCCCCCCCCCCCCCCCCCCCCCCCCCCCCCTCCTCCCCTTTGACTCGACCTCGCACCCACCTCGCCTCGCTGCTGCCCCCAACTAACCCCCCACCATGTCCACCAACTACCGTCATGACGACGCCTCTGCTGAATCATTCCTCCCGCAACACCAAAAAGACCCAATGAACAGCGCCAACCCTTACGCTGCCAGCGCATCTCACCCCCAGCGCGCACCCAAGAAGCGCAAGCTTCTCTGGTGGATTGTCGGCGCCATCATCCTCGTCTGTATCATTGTCGGCGCTGTCCTAGGCGGTGTTCTCGGCAGCCGCGCCGGCAAGAACAACGACGGTAACAAGGGTTCCGCAAACGGCGGCGGTGCTGCTGCTACTGGCGCTCCTGGCACTGCGGGCAACACGGCTTTTGCTACCGGTACAAAGGGTGCCGAGGGCGGCAACACGGCTCTTCCCTCCATGCTTTCGTACTGGGCCACCAACATGGCCGCTCAGACTGCCTCTGGCGTCAACGGCCAAGTCTACATGGCTGTCGCCACCGATACTAACATGCTTCCTGCCTACGTTACTGGTGTAAGTCTTGGATTGTTTTGTGTGCTGTGCTCTTGCCCGAACAAGCTTGCTCGGCTCCCCTCTAAAGTCTGACACTGGACCTGTGTACGAGGACCGAGGTGGTGGGGACGTCGTGCCTAGCCAACAAATACGATACACCTCTGCCAAGACCCCGTCGCTGACCCACAGACCGCCACTGCTGGCTACTCTGCCCCGTCCAAGGACGCCCAGCCCGGTACGAACGGCGCGTGGCCTTCTGACAATTCGTCGCCTTCGTCGTCCAGCCCCCGGTCTCACCCCCGTATCATCGCTCCCCAGTACAAGTGGGATGCCCTCAACAATGGCCTCATCAACGGCGACCCCTACCTTTCCCACTGGCACAAGATTATCATTGAGAACGCGACCGCCACGCTCAATGAGCCCCCCACCCCGTACGTTCCCGATGGCGGTCTCACCGGCTCTGGCGTCCTTGACGTTGCCCGCGAGGTCAAGGTCAAGATCAAGAACCTTGCCTATGCCTACCGTACCACTGGCGAGACCAAGTTTGTGGACCGCGCCTGGCTCGAGCTTCGCACCGCGTCCGGTAACAACCCCGACGTTTCGTTTGGCAACGGCACCTCGGCTTGGAACGGCGAGGGTCACTTTCTCGACCTCGCCGAGTTCACCTCGGCGTTCGCCATTGGATACGACTGGCTCTTCGATGTCTGGACCGCTGAGCAAAAGTCGACCATCCGCACCGCCATCTTCACTATGGGTCTGCAGTATGGCGTCAACGCCCTTACCGGCACCAACGGTGGTGGCGGCTACAACTGGTGGACTGGTGTCGACCCTGGCCTCAACACTCAGGTGATTGATGGCAACTGGAACTGTGTCAACAACGCTGGTCTCACTCTCGGAGCCCTGGCCGTCATGGACGAGGACCAGAACGGCATGGCTGCTGAGATTCTTCGCCTCGCTGTTCCCGGTGCCCGGGCCAACTGCTTCCAGGGCGCCTACTCGGACGGCACTTGGGCTGAGACCCCCAACTACTGGTACTTTGGCACAACCGGCGCTGCTGAAATGGTCTCTGCTCTCCAGACCGCCCTTGGTGGTGACAACGGTGTCTCGCTTGCCACCAGCAACCCCGGCTTCAACCTCACCTCTCTTGCTCACATGTACGTTACTGGCATGACCGCCAAGTTTGAGTACGGCGACCACGGACCCAACAAGTACTCGGCTACAGCCAACTCACTCTTCCTCTGGAGCCAGGTCTTCAGCGAGCCCCGCTACGCTCTTTACCAGCGCGACCAGTATGATGCCTCGGAGCCGTTCTCCATGTTCTGGTACGACCCCACCGTGGAAGGTGCTTGGTGGGCCAACCTCCCTATTGACCGTCACTTTGACGACAAGAAGGGCGAGTGGGCAGCCGCTCGGTCGTCGTGGAGCGACAACTCGGGCACATACTGGGCTATCAAGGCCGGAACCCTCCTTAACCACCAGACTCACGGCGACCTTGACCTCGGAACCTTTGTCCTTGATGCCATGGGTTACCGCTGGGCCGGTGAGCTTGGCTCGGACCAGTACCTTGGCACGGGCTACTTCTCGAGCGAGGCCCAGGACTCGCCTCGCTGGAACTACTACCGCAAGCGCACCGAGGGTCAGAACACTATCGTCATCGGCAACGCCAACCAGCTTGTGTCTGCCGCTGCTCCTCCCACTACTTATGGATCGTCGGGCACTGCCCAGGGTGTTGCTCCCTACCTTTCTCTGGACACTTCCGACACTGCCTTCTTCACCTTGGATATGTCGGCTGCTTATGGCACTGGCGCCTCGGTCAAGCGCGGTATCCGCTTCGTCAACGGTCGCAAGCAGATCCTTCTCCAGGACGAGGTTACTGGCCCTTCGGGCTCTGGCATCATGTGGCGCATGCACACCAACGCCACCGTTGAGACTCAGGGTACCTCGGCCACGCTCACCTCGCCTGACGGCAAGACCTGCAAGGTTGACATTATCAACGGCGAGGGCTCCTTCACGACCATGCAGCCGGTCCGCCTTAGCGGCACTGCCCCTGCGGACGAGATGCCCAACCCGGGCGTCACCGTTCTCGCCATCAACAACGCCGCTGGCGGTTCGCTCAACGTTGACGTTCTCTTCACCCCTCAGTGGCCCGGCGAGAGCAACTATGTCACTCCCAGCCATGTTGCTCTTGACTCGTGGTCGCTTACTTCGCACAACTAGGTCCAGTAGTTTTGAGTTGCAGTGAGGTGGGCGGTGTATGACCTCGACGGTTTTGCCTGCTCCCTCTGTTTGCGCCCTGGGTAACGCGTGATCCAAGTTGGACTTGTTAAAGAGTCCGGTGTCGGTTTACACTAGCTAGCTCCCTTCCTCCCGTCCCGTCCCCTCTTCCACTCCTCCTCGCCTCCCACTCCTGGCAAGTCATCGGTCACTGTCACTTGGCGACTGGCGACATGCTAGCGTTTACGATCCTTTGGCACGAACATTTGCCGAATTGTATGCATGGACAGTTTACTGGATGTCTGGCCTCTTGGAGACTAATACTTGCTGGATGGGGATGTCTTGGCGGGGGAAAGGCGCGAGGCGCGAGGGAGACATTCTAAACTTGCAATGGATGGAAAGTTGGATCAACCTCCTAAATAGGCACCAAGTCGCGACCCGCACGCGATCGAGGCATTGAGAGAGACGCATCGACGCAGGATGCAGGATGGCTAGGTTGATGATTAGGACAGCTTGAGGAATCGAGCATGAGATGTCGCCAAGGTTGAACTGAATGCCTAACATATGAGCGGGTCGCGAGTGTCGGCTGCACGGCTGAGCCGAGTGGACGCGACGCGACACGCTGTGAGTGTCGTACTGATTGGGATTACCAGACGAGCACACTGCACTGTGGGGTCTCGATCTCGACCGGGCAGAAGGCAGAGGATGTCATGACGACGGAAACGGAGATGCACTGCTTATGAGACGAGACCGGGGATGAGTTTGAACGATACTACTGTACAAGTATCTACTGCATGCGAGGCGATCAGTGCGTTGCCCTCGACGCCTTCTGTCGCCCACCACGCACCTTTCCTCCTCCCTCATCCCTCCCCCACCCACGCTGCACAACGGCCTCGCATCCATCATCTCTCAACCTCTCAACCTGCACCTCCTCCTCAACTCTCTCTCTCCTCCGTCTCACTTCATCTCGGCCTCGACCTCTGTCCCGCCCTCCGCCTTGTCTCTACAGTCTCCTAAACCTCGCCC